GAGAAAAAGATAGATTTTAGATGGAAGTTGAAGTTCGGGGTGTGTGGGCATGTTTTGCTTGCCTTTTTTTTTTTTAAATCCAGGCGATTAATCCCCTCAAGCACTGCCATCAATCCCCATGTAATTTAAGGGAAAAGAAAACCCCAAAGGACATGGAGCCAGTGTCTTGCTGCACAGAAGGACCCTGCATTTGGAGCCGGGGTGATGGCCCCACATCAGCTCTGCATCAGCTGGCGTGTCAGCGTGCCAGAAGTTGGCGGTTTAAAAACGCAAATAATACATAGTAACTGAGYGTGTTTTCTATACATCTTTCTGACTGGGTTGCTTGTTGGTGTGTAGTTGTTGTTCTATATGGCACAGCCTGGGTTATTTGTTGTTGTAGCTTAGTCATCAATAACAACCATTGGCCAGTTGTAAAGCTTTTTGTGTGAATAGCACCTGACTGCCAGATGAAAAGTGGCTTTCTGCAAGTTTTTAGTAAATCTGAGTCTTTCAGCAGGCTTGGGTTGGTTGTCCAAGAGCACTAATGTGGACTCCACTGAGATGGCTTTTTGTTCTTAGATGTGAGAACGTTTCCCTTTGGGTGGGCAGGTTTGCATCTGACCGAGAAGCATCGTCACATGTTGGAACAGAATCTGCAGTTTATTAAATGGCACTTTTGTAATTTTGACTTCAGATCCTATTGACAGCAAAATATTTTCTATGCTAGGAACCCACTCGAATCATAATAGTCCTTTGAAAARCAAGTATAAAGGACAGTTTGATTGTGTTACTGGTTTTCATTTTTCCCTGGATGTTATGCTGAGAGAGGAATGAGACTCAAGTTGTGTTGATCCTGAAAATGCTTTCATTGAAAGTAACCTTAAAACAGATTAAAAAGGAATCCACTCTTCATTAAGCCGCACGGCTACTGCTGTTTGCCAGCAGCTGCAGAAGTATAAATAAGGGAATGTTGCTTGTATTCTCCTTGACTAATGGGGGTAAGAATCTGCTGCTGGAGAGCAGCAGGCAAAACAGACCTCGACAAGACCCAGTGAGTCTGTCCTCATCGGTTCCTGTCTGGCTCCTCRTCCTAACTCATTGAACTGCGATAGAAAGTCCTGGCAATTAGGGACCTGTTCAACAGGCTGCTTTGGTAGGTGAGGGCGAGGSGGGTCTAGGCCCTGTTCCCATCTGAACCTGGCAGCTGGGCAGACCCAGAGCCCGAGTCCCGGGGGGTTTCTGCAGCCTAGGGCAGTGCGAGTCCAGGGTGCAACCCCAGCTTCCCTGATCCCGTCTCCTCGTGGAAAACTCTTGAATGCGGTGGGGTCTCTTCACTTGGGTTGGGTTGCCTTGGGATCTAGCAGGGTCACCAAGCCTCACGTACAAAGGCATTATAATCCACAAGAGAAGCTTTTATTTTTCTTCTCAGGAATCAGCTTTCCCATTTATGTAATTTTCTACAGTTTTTGGAGCCAAGTCGTGGCCTTGGTTTGGGAGGTGCAGGCTTTGCCCCTTGTTCTATCTTATTCTCAGGTTTGGGCTGATAATCCGGTACCTTATGCCTGGATAATTCCCTGTTGCCCTGTACACATCCCAAGCATTCCAGAAATGTCCTGCTGGGAGAAAGCAAGTTCACACAGGACCCATCTGGATGTTGCCCAATTTCTACAGAAACAGAGGCAAAAGTATCTGGTGAGTTTTTTCCAGCCTCCTATGTTTGCTTTAGGTCACGTAAGTTTGTGGTGGCTCTGCTGTGTTTGCCCCAAATCTCATTCCCTGCAGCCCAGAAAACCAAGCATTAGAAGAGATAATGATGGTATCACTCCATGTAATACTTGGCTTAAAATAACCAGACCACAGAAGTAGTTAGAACTCAGTAATGATAATTGCCTGGTTCTAAAAATAGGTCTGTCAGGGACTGTGAGGGAGACATGAATCAGCGGGAGACACTTCCAAGCTCCGTCCCGCCAATCCCTCCTGGAGCAGCTCTTTGCTGGAGGCATCTGCTGCTCCTTCCCACCCTTCAGCTCGAGTTAGCAGCGCTTGGGAGCCACCAGCTACTGCAGAACTGTCGTCTCTGCCTTGTGGAGTTCCTACAGGAAAAATGTATGTTTTTATAAATTTTTATATATATGTGTGTATGTGTGTGTGTATATATATATATATATACACACACACATATGCAGACACATACATAAATAGATGTATATACATATATATAGATGTATATACATATATATTTTTAAAGGCTTATTGAATAAAACAGTGAAAACATGAGGAAGGCTCTTGTGGAGGACGAGGAGGAGCACTCCTTGGAAACGTCCCATCCCGGGACAGAGCCCGGCTGCAGTAGCCGGGGGTGGAGAACAGGCTCAAGGGACCTTCAGGAATCCGGGGCGCTTGACTCCTCTGTCCAGCTGCTGTGCTCCCCAGCTCCCACAAACTGCCACCTTGGGATGCAAAACCCTTGGCTTCATGCGGCTGCGTCTGGGCCGGGGAGGCCGGGTGGGCAGCGGGTGTCGGGAGCCCCTTTGCTTGAGGAGCTGGGGACCACAGCAGCACGGATGGCGCCGGGCCTGGCGTGAGGCCCCGCAGCCAAGAAGGGCTGAACTCAGAAAAAACTGTAAAAATATCTTTAAGCTGTTCTTTATCTCTCTAGCCGACTCCACAGGTGAACAAGAGCAGGTTTGTGCCTTCACTTGCTGTTTTCCTGGGCTAAAAAAAAATGAAAAGAATTGCCAAGATTCCCCATTGCCAAGGGGGAGGAGGAGGCGGTCAAGGCCACATCTGCCTTGCTAGAACTGCTGCTATAACAAGCAGGACTGTGGACTCRACACAAAATCGTCCCCAACCCTCCCTGGCCAGCAGTACAACCCGGACTATTCACTTCTGTGCTTATCGGTGTAGAGCAAACRCGAGCGAGGAGGAATCCCTCTGCAGGGCCCTTCCGTGAGCTCCTCGGGACGGCCGYTCCCGCGCGGGGTGGCAGCCTCTCCGCCGTGGCCCCTTCCTTCATCGCTGCAGCCGCAGCCCGGCCCGGCTTCCCGCAGCCCCTTCATTCCCAGGCTCCTCTGCTTTTTCCATGCGTGCTCCAGCCTTTCCCCTGGGTATCAYGTTGGGAGCAGGAGCCTTCGGCCCAGGGGTGTCCCGTGGGCAGCGAGCACCATCCGGAATATGGCAAAACACTGGGAATTGCTGTATTTTAGGCACTGCCCTGGTACTGCTGTTGCGGTGGCCAAGTGTGGTTGAGCTTGGCCAGCCAGGCCCATACAGCAAGGGCATGCGGCAGCTCCGACCCTCGTGCTCCGTCCCTCCACGTGCATTGCCAGACCAACAACCAGCTCCGTTTCTTTGGCCAAAAGACGAGGGTTTCAGACCAAGACCACGTGGCAGCCCCCGTTCCTTRGCTCTCTTTGCAGTTTCCGCTCTCTTGGAAGGAGATTTGGCTCCTGAGTATAGCCAGACCCCGAGCAGCGCAGGGAAAACGGCTCCTGCTGGGGCATCTTTCCCGACGGGCAGAGAAGGGAAAGACTTTCCAAGACTGGCAGCGTATTAACGTTTTCCTGATGCTGTGAATTCCACAGCGGTATCAGAGATGTTCCCAGGATTCATCGCCTTTGGGAGAGGRGTGCTCCCCTTAAGCTTTGTACCTCTTAGTGGGAAGTGAGGCAGCAGAGGATGGCCAGGGATTTTTGTCATGTGGAGGAAACCTCCTARTGCCCAAGATGCTCTGGCTTTGTCACGCGTTTCGTGTGGGGGGTCTGTGCTCTAGGTAGGTAGAGATCTGCTCTGCGAAGGGGCACGGGAGCAATGGGAGCTGCTGCTCCGAGGAACCTCGGGGTAGGTGCCTGCTTCGGAGCCAATTTGCTATTGAAAAAGCTGTTCTCAGGAGATCAAAATACTAATTACCGTCAGGTGACAGAGCTCTCAGTGTACAGTAGTGTAATTTAATAGTGGATTGGGTAAAAAATGACTCCCTCAGTTCCAGGATGGTTTGTGAAGGAAAGGGCGACTTCTTCAGAGCTTGGGAAGCTGCTGGGAGCTTGGGAAGGTGCTGGAGCTTCCCTGGCTGCTCCCTCCCGCCATGCAGGATGGTGAGGACATCTCCCACAGGCAGGCCCGAGCCTGCAGAGGAGGCTCCTTGTGCACAGCCCGTCGGGCCTGTTTCTCACAGTGACAAAGTCGACTACAGCCCAGCAACAGCCGCCAGCTCCCGGCCTGTCCCTCGCTCCCTGCCTCCTCCTGCCGCGGTGCCTTAGCCCCCGGGAGCACGGGGCCGAGTCCCTCTGCGCTGCGGTGGATGCGGAGGCGCCTGTTGCATTGGAGACATCTCCCTTCCCAAGAGGCAAGGTGCAGGGTGCAGTGGAAGGGCTGCGTCTTGCGGGTGGCGGCAGCCGCAGGCTCCCTTATTTGGAGTCCCGGAGCCGCCGGGATTTCTGTGTTTTTGTGTCTCCATATATGGAGCGGCTGCCGCCGGAGCCGCGCTTGGAAGCCGGGCAGCATCCGCACACACACGCAGGGCACAGAGGTTGAGCCCAGGCCTCAAACTGGTTTTAGGGCAAAAGGAATAATGCAAAGAAAACAAATTTCCCATTAATTTCTACTTTTTTTTTCTGTCATTGCTTACCAGGATGCATATGGTTGTAATTTCCTTCATGGTGGTAAATTGCAGAGAGAGAAGGGAGCATAAGCAGAGCAGCGCTGCCGCGGAAGCCGTGACAGGGACAAAAGGCAGCTCCCCTGTGACGCGGCAGAGACCCCGCTCGGCCCTGTGCCTGCGAGGAATCATGGAGCGGCAGTAGCTGCCCGGCAAATTCCTGGAAGTGGGGCCGGGAAAGACCGCTGGCTCCCGAGCCATGCGCTCCACACACTGCCCCTCGGCTCCCGCTTCCTCCTCCAGCTTCCCTTTCCAGCCTGTTCTGTATCCCGTTGCTTCTGCCTTCCACCCTGGGACCGCACAGTGAGTGGCAGGGAAGTGCTTTGATGACTAACTCTGTTCTCTTCTCCCTCTTCGACAGATTAAAAAGCAACAGCAAGATGTATTAGGCTTCTTGGAAGCCAATAAAATCGAATTCGAGGAAAAAGACATCGCAGCCAACGAGGAGAACCGGAAATGGATGCGGGAGAACGTGCCCGAAGACAGTCGGCCGGCGAGCGGCAACCCCCTGCCGCCCCGGCTGTTCAACGACAGCCGCTACCTCGGGGTAAGGGACCCGCCACAAGCTGCGCTCRCACTTCTCTTGTCCCTGTCCCCGCACAACTGCAGTGGTTTGTGCTTTGCTGTCTCCATCAGCTGGAACCTCTTGGCCAGCTGGACCTTGGGTGCACAGGCTCTGATGGGCACAGACCTGCAATATATGTCTTTTTCTGGTGGTTTTTTTTTTTTAATTAGCTTTGAAAGTTTGGAGTTTTCTAATTCTTGTTCTTAACTGTAACTGTGAACTAGCACGTCACACAAATTGGCACTAATGCTCCAACCCTGTGTTCTGTAGCAAATTCAGAGAATTCAGAGAGCTGCACTGGATGTRTGTTGGCTTTTTTTCTATAAACATAGATCCTAGATCATTCTCCAACCTGTTACTCAGCCTCCAAAAGCGCAAGGTGATTTCTGCCTTGTCAGTATATCAGCTTTCTGAAACTGAGATGAAACCACTTACCTTTGGATCAGCTTTTTCGGTGCTCTTTCTGAGACAAAGGCAGTTGCAGTCCACTTATTCTGGTGCCTTGAATAGATTAAAAATTATGCTGCAAATACAATTCTTACTTGTAATTATTGTAATGCTTGATCAAAAGTATGTTGCCCTGCAGCACTCCTACTCAGCAGGCCATGCTTGGATGATTATTAGATTAACTTTTAATTTTATTTTTAAAACTTAATATCTTCTGAAAAGAGCCCACAGTATGCACTGCTCCCTGCTGCTTGTTTCTAAGTCATTTTGCAATCTGCTGCTGACCTGCAAAGTCCCTAATTCAGAATGTATCTGAATTAGGAGAGGCAGTTCTGTGTCTACTGAAAGAAATGATATTCAGTTCCCAGGAATTTTTTTCTTGCTTGTAACAAAGACAGAACTTGCAACAAAATCCACAGTGAACTAAAATCCCATGCAGCTTTCAAAATGTTAGTGGCTATGGTTTAGACGTGGGAAAGATTTGGGTTGGAACAGCAATCATGTACAACTGAAAGCTGAGAAGGAGCTAGTCATGAAGAGCTGAAAATGTCTRTTATTTGCAGAAATCTTTTATTTTCTTCTTCCTTAAAAACGAAAAAGTTCTGTGCCCATAGTATGCAGTGTCACTGCAAACCCAGTCGCATGCAGAGCCTTTAGGAGCCCAAGCAAATCCCTGCACTTTGCAGTTCTTTATCAGGGAAAAGTAGCCTGGATGCTGCTGCGTTGCTGCAGCCGCACCAGCCCCACTCGGCACTGGTGCAGGACAGAGAGACAACAACCCCCACGTCTGAGCTTACAGATACGGTGATTCGGGGGCGAGGTGTAGGCCAGTTCCTGCTCTGTGCTCCCTCCATTGCAAAAGGTTTCGTTAAAGGAGTGTCAGGTCACTTGGATCTTTTCAGGAGCAGGCCCTGCTGTTCCCCAGGGGAAAGGGTCTTTAAAAGCCCCTGGGTGTTTCATTAGGCTGAAGATCACATAGCAAAGATCTCCAGGAGAAGATTTTAATCAGASTTTTTCCAAGCACTCAGGCCAGGTGATCTGTTTTGGGGATATTTCTGACTGGAGTTGGAGCATCTTTCCAGCTGCCACATGTGCCTAGTGAGCGCAGTGCACTAGGGTGAAGCTGTCGTGTTATATCACACAGAATGTCCGTGCTTTTTGGTTTGCATTTGCATTGTTTTGCATCGTCCTTCCCATATGTAAAGAGTGAAACGGTGAAGTCTGCCCATCATGTAGGAGGTTTTAAGTCCTCTCTATTGGTCCTGAGGTCACTGCCATAAAGAGCCATCCTGGAAGATGCAAAGGGGACTGAGTGCCCTCTTTTAGAAATCCAGCCAGTTTCTATATGTGCTCTATCCGAGCCGCTGCAGTTTGGCGTTCGGGGGGGCAAAGCGGCTTTCCYGCAGCGTGCCCTGCACCCGAGCCCGAGTGCGGCCGGGCCCGCGGCACTGCCCGCGTCACAGCGCTCCCGCCGCRGCCGTGCCAGGCGGCCTGCCCTTAATGGCGGCTCCCGGCCCGGCTTCAGCGCACGCTGGGCCTGCTCGCCGCGGCGGCCGCCCCTCGGGGCACAYGGAGCGCAAGGAAGCCCCTGCGGTGGCTGCGGCTAAAGCAGCAGGAAGGAAAAGCACGAGTGGGATGGGGCTGAGTGTGAAGCTTGGAGCTAGGCAAGCGTGTGGTGAGCTGGTCAGTCGGGCCCGCGCAGCCCCGGGGTCGTTCGGTTTGCCCAGCTCTGCCCTCACGTAGCAGATGGCTCAGTTTTACACTCTGCACAGAATCACATTCGGTCCAAATGTTAAAAAGGGCAGAGAAAGGAGGATGTATCTTTTTTATTGTGTGTTTCATTGCTTGTGAAGTCTTTTATGAGAGGTTTTTATGCTTGGGACGTGGCTGTGTGCATATTTAGAGCAACTGTGCAACGTTTTTTGACGCAGCATCAAAGCTCAATGCCGAGACTTGCGCTGTTTTGTTAGYCCTGTGCACTAACTGCCTGTGACAGGGAGCTGGATCTGTAGCTCCCCGGCACGTACAGACAGATGGATTTATAGCAGAGTCCCRGTGCCTTTAGTTCACTTGCCTCGTTAATCATTAACAGCAAAGATGATGGAAAACAGTTTACTTTCAGTTTATGGCTTTAAATTTAACTTTTAGCGGGTTAAAAGCTGCTAATATCCATATTTGCAGAACTGCCATTACTAATTAGGAGTCAGTAATGAGAGCAGTGGACASCGATGCTGCTGGTTGTGCTTGGTCTGGGGGGGCTCCTGGATGCCGGGACGGGGCGGCTGCCCCTCAGGGAAGGGCTGAAGCAGCAACTCGCAGCACCCATTGCTGCGGACGCCAAAATCTCCAGCTTGCCACCTTGCATCACCTAATGATAAAAATGTGACGTTCTGAGTTGTTCAGGATGTGACAGCAGGCAGTTTGCTCAGGGCAGGTGGGGTCACTCACGCCAGTGATCGGCAGGTATTTCTGAAGTTTCACACCTCTCTTTTGCTTTTTCCTTCCTTGCTGCTAATCCGTAGGATTATGAAGCTTTCTTTGAGGCCCGAGAGAACAACGCCGTGTATGCGTTTTTAGGCTTGACTGCGCCGCCGGGTTCAAAGGTAGGTGTATACATCTTTCACAGTAAACTATAACCTGTATTTTACGCCTTACTCCTCCTTGCTTACACTTTGTGTTTYGTGGTCACTCCAGTTAATCTACCTGCTGGTTTGATATTTAGACTCCAGAGGCTTTAGCTTTCAGGCTTCAGCAGTTGGTATGTGCTCATTTATTTGGGAGATGCTGTATTCACTGGAGGCTCTGTTCCCTGTTCCAACCTGTCCTTCTGCCAGAAAAACTCCGTGTTTAAGACTGATGTTCTTCTGATACCCTCACTGTAGGGCCACTTTGGATTCTTCATGTTTTTCTTTATGTTGTCCCTCCTGCAAACAAGCAAAACAATAGCTAATATGTGCACTGAAGAATGTCCAAGGTATCAGATTAGAAGAAATTGCCACAAAATAAAGATTTTTTCTCAACATATTGAAAAAAAAGCAATAATTCAGATTAAGTTTTGATGAGACTTTTGTAATGGAAAATACCTCACAACCAGAGTCCCTGGCCTTTCTTAAATGCATGTTTTTCCTTCACCCGGTTATCTGAAGCTTTGTTTTTCCTTTACCAGCTGCAAACCAGGTCGCTGCTGTGCGCACGTGATGGGCTGGATTTTGATAAGATAAGACAARGCTACTCTAGATGTTTCACTTGAGGGCAGTAGGATCTGCCAGGGCACTTCCAGCTTTCTTGTCCCTGTGGATAAACACACCGCTTCCTTTCAGCTTTATTTATGTAAGAGTTGAAGGTCACACTTGTACGTATCACTCCAAGACCTAATTTTCAAGGTGGATCATGATCAGTTTGCATTAACTGTAACAAACTGTAGATCAGACTGAAACGCACAATTTTGGGAGCCAAATGAATTTCCAGGGATAACTCCATTAACATGAATGAGATAGTGAGGAAAAACTCCGACTCGTGCAGAGCGACATAGTACCAAAACACATGAATTTTGCCCCAGAGTAAGGCCCCAGTGGGTTTGCACAGAGCCGGAGTTGTTTAAATCCTGCTTAAGTTTCATGTAGCCTCTGTATAGCATTGCACAGAAGAGTGCAGAGTGGAGCCACGGAGCAAGAAGACAACGCTACAGCTTACTACTGCCTTGCTTAAAGATATATCTGATATGTACCTGATACAGCATCTTCTGCCAAAAAAGGCTGGATGCCACTTGGGTGGTGCCTGTGGCCGACTAATGTGCTAAGAAAGCAGAGAAGTGCCTCTTTGTCACCATTCCAAGCGCCAGTTGTCTTCGGGAGAATGCACAGCATTCTTTTTCTCCCAGGCTTTGTTGCCTGTCTTCATCTTTCCACCGTTGTCACCTTCCCTTTTGTGTCGCTAACTGACAATCTGCCCTTGCACGAGCCGCGCGGCGGTGCCGCGGCCTCCCGGCTCCGGCACGAGGCCGGCAGGGAGCCTGGCCACCGGAGCAGCCCCGCGTTCCCATGTGGAGCCTGGGCACTGGAACAGCCCTGTGCTCCCATGCGGAGCCCGACTGCCGGAGCAGCCCCACATTCCCAAGCTCCGTGCGTGCATCTGGCAGCAGAGCCCAGCACATCCCCAGGTGACCTGGATGCACCTGGTCCTTCCCGACCTGCGGGACAGCCTTGGGAGCTGCGTCCCTTCCTTGCAGTGTGAAGGGGCCTTACGAGCTTCCCRGAAATCCCCTTCTTTCCCCTCCCTGCATTCTTTTTTTTCTAGTATTTATTTGTTTGAYGTGTTTTTGAAATAGCTATGATGACTCGAGTAGGGCTATCAAGTTGCTGTCTTCAGAATTTACCTGCAGTAGTCACCAAAGCAAATAATTACATAGAAGTTGAGTTCAGCAGATTTTTTCTTTTTTCTTCAAAACAAACAAACCCTGTGTCCTGAAGCACCCCGCTGAGGGCAGCATGAAGCTGCCCATCCTTGCAGGCCGCGCTAGTGGTAACCTGTGATTGCACTGATCTGCAGTCAGAAGAACTTTCACAGAAACCATTTGCAAGGGAATTCTTTTCCATTCAAAGCTCGTCCCTAACAGCAGTCACTTTATTCCCATTGGTAATCACCTTCTTTCTGAAAATATCAGGGCTGAAAAATTCAGTTTATTGTTTTTTAATGACCCTTCTGAAAAGTCCTAAGAAGCATTAGAGATTGGCTGGTGGGAGGGTACTAAAGTATGGCAGCAGTTTCTTCATCTCAGGAGGAACTGGCCATAACTCAGTATTATCTGTTCTTTGACATCTATGGTSAAACCTGGTTTTGTGGTCAGGAATTCAGAGTGGGCAGCAGAGAAATGTAAATGGGGGTCTGGTTTGCACTAGGCTGGGCTTGGAGCTGAAGGCAGCACCGTATGGTCCCATTGCTCTGTAGCAATGGGGTCTCTTTGAGTTGGGCTGCTTATTTTGCTCCTTCCCCTACTCCTGTAATTTCAGTTATGCCCTGTGGACACTGGTGCCTGGCCTGGGTGTATGGGAGCTGTCACTTTGCATTAAGTACTAACGTGTCCTTCTCTTCTGCCATTTCAGGAAGCCGAAGCACTGGCAAAGCAGCAAGCATGAATTCCAACTGCCTTAAATGCTCTGTAAAGGGAATTTCCACAGCTTTTTATAAAATAGTAGAATTGTCTCTGCTTCAAGAAAAATAGATGTGATTTCTAACATTTGATTGGTGCTTGCAGCATTCACAGAACATTAATACAGATTTGAACACAAAGTGAAAATGTGAACATAAAGGTAGAAAGCACAGAGTGTGTTGTTACAAAGTTGGAAGCATAAGAAATTGGAGCAATTAGACATGATTGATTTTTCAGATAGTTTAAATTGTCTTGGCAATTTGTCCATTTTGTGTAAACTTAAAGAAACTATTTTAGTACTATAAATGCAGATATGGTTATACCTAGATATCCAGCTATTTAAAAATAATGGAAGAAAAGAGCAACAGCGTTAAACCTTATCACTAACTTTAGTGCCTGAGTTGCCTCCAAAAATATTACTGAAATATACAGTAATTTTTCAGTGTCTTTTTAGATTCTGATTAAATTGTAGGTGGTGTTGTGTATTGTAATAACCATTGTAGTCTCTTTTGGAATTGGTGTTTGTTCTTTTGTAGAATAGATATTTAAAACTGTAACACACTGTACAGATGACAAAAAAAAAGAAGAAGAATGCCATGTATTTCTCCTCTGAAGGATCCCTGTGGGCTTTTCCTACAAAGAAAGGGGATTTGGGCAATGGACAGCCTTTGACCACATGCTGCCTAGGCACAACTCTGGACATGTTCGTGTGAACCTCAAGGAGACACACGCCAGCTCCCAGGCAGTGTCACAAATAAGCCAAAAGGGCCAGCAATGGCATTTCCTTACCAGGGTAAGGGTGAAGCCTTTAATGAAATTCCTTACAAAAATACCAGTTCACACTGCATATAGGATTAGATAGCTTGGTGCATGTCCTGGTAGTAATTTGTTGCATATAGTATTTTTTCAAATGAGAAAGTAAAGTTAAATGTTTGAATAGCAGGAACTATTGTAATAGGGCGGGCTTTTTTTTTAAGATTTAAAAACTCATTTCTGTTGCCATATCACAAAGCTATTACAGGAATTGCAAACATACTAAGTGTCTTGTATTGGTGAGTTTACCACGTGCAATATCAGCCTGTCCATTCTCCCAGTACCCATCAGATAGCCTGCATTTCTTGCCATATTCTACAAAAATCGAAATAACACAAGTGCCCTGAACAGTGAGAAACGTGTGTGGGTAATTCAAAATGCATTTTGTACCATGTAAGCTACTTCTTCCCCCAAAGCAACGAAGGACAGTGAAAAAGATCATTAGTGTTCATGTAGTTCGAGGATCCTTCTGATGTCTCTGCACAAATACATTTCATTTTGCTCTGCTTTGTTAAGGTAGAGGAGCAGCCTGCATAGATCAGGGAAAGGCTGCAGCTACTTGCTTTTGGTMAAGAGAAAGTTCTAGAGAAGATCATGATAAAACTTCCACAGATGTCAGAGCCAGCATGACCTAGTCTGAAACCAAGGTAGATAACGTTTCTTTTTGGTCATGTGTAGGGTTTTTTTATTATTATTCGGCAGCCTGGAAGTAGGTATTTGAAACTTGTGCTTACAAGAGCAAGCACAGTATCAAAATACATAGGGGAAGATTAATGTTGCCTCATCTTGAAGATTAACACAAACATTTGTGCTTTCTTATTAACAGACTTGTCAGTAATTGCTGAAGTTTTGTGGGGTTTGTTTTTAGGATCTTTTAGGGACCTTCCCTTTGGGGACTCTTACAAGGGGGGATTACATTTTTGTATGCAGTGTGTGATTTTAATGATCCRCTGTGGTTTTGTGATTCTAAACTGAGGTGACCTTTGCTTTCTTAATATGGACATGATCTTTCTTTATGTCCAAACCCACTGGTGATGTTTTTGAGAAAGTAAGGAAGAATACTAGGTGAAGCTTTGGGAAGAAAGGGGAATTCAACACACAGTCACTGTACTCATGCTATTCGCTGTGCTTCCTGTGTAAGGAAAGTATGGCATAAGTGCTGTGCATTACAGTCATTATGTTGGAGAACTGTAATTGAAAGCGAATGCCAGATTCTGCTGGGTTAGTGACCCAAAATAGTCTGGAAAAAAAAAGGTCAACTTTTATTTCTGACAGTCAAGAAAATCACCAAGTTTAAGAAAGCAAAGTCCCCTCCTCTAGTCCCCTGCTCCTGGCCATATGGTAGCATTCAAACCATATCTGCATTCCTGAGAAAGCTGTCGAGACAGACTGAATAATTTCTTTGTCCAGGGAACAAGGCACCAACAGAGACTGAAAAATACCTAAAATCTTTCTGTTGTGGGCTGTGTGTAAAAGTCGTATTTGTTTTGATGAAGACTTTCTGCATGAAGAAGTGGTTGGGATGTGTTCCCTGTATGCTGCTCCTGTTCTTAGTTTAATGATGGGTGCAGCGACTGAGTTTGTTCATTTCTTTCATGAACCCTTTATGTTTTCCTATGTAGAAGGCAGGCAATAAGTATTTAAAGTGTATATTAACCATTCCTGAATCATTCCAATAAAATTGTTTCAGAATGCTTTCTCACACTCTTGACTTTTTTGCATGGTTACATTTAGGGAACATCTACATAAAGCCTTTTTTTAGGAGAGAATTGAGAACATTCCCCCCTAATTGACCTGCTTTCCTGCTCCTCCCTCAGAGCAGCTATCAGGTCAAGCCCCTCTCTTCACCCTGTGTAAATCTTGCCCAACAGCCTGAGCTGCTTTTTTCCAATGTGTAATTAATTAGCTTTATGCTGCGCACAACAGGGGGGCTGTGTTATTTAATATCTATATTGCCAGAGAGGGCAGTGTTGGATATGCATTTAAACTAAAGCTCTCTGTTTTTATCTTCCCTAYTTGCCTGGTAGACCCAGCAGGTACAGTGTTTTAGGAGTCCGCATGCTTTACGTGCTGAACCATCACCCCACTGAGAAACCCTATAGGAGATGCACTTTTCAGCCCCCAAACTGTGCTAGGATTTACCCCAAACCCAGACTTGGATTCAGATACTTTKGAGGAAAAGTATCACTTAATTTTTAGAGTGGTTTGTTAGAAGGGAACTCGCATGCTGTTTATAGGGTCAAGGTTTTTCTTTTTTCTGTTTCTAAACAACTAAAGCACAAGCGAGAACTATCAAATATCCTCATGTCCTTAATAGTGTTTATTGCTTGTCTTTCACTCTTGTTCTCCACCGTTATTTAGAGTCTTAAAAAATGGTGTTAGGGAAACATAAGGTGTTAGGGAAAACAGCTTCTGATGTCATTTCTGATTGTATGGAATCCCACTTACTTTCCCTGTACACTCCACTTGTATAAGCTGARTAGCTCTCTTGCTTTCTTGTCTGCTTGTAAGTCTTAAAACCAAGGAATTGTTATTCATTAATGTAAGGCTCAATACAAATCATTTTCAAAAATCTGTTTCAAAACAAAATGCATGTTTGCATATGTTTATGAACTTAACTTGTTCCAGGTATTCATGGTGTGCACTGTAATAATAAATTTTTCTACCATTGAATATGGAATTTTTCTATTTCCTCATTTATACTTAATCCATATTTTGTGGAAAATTCGGTTAAGCCTAGTTATATCATTTAGCTCTTATTGCACATATTACAAACTCAAAAAATACCTTGCAATGCAGATTCAGGGTGTGCAGAATAGACACAGATGCCTACTAGTCTTTACTGAAGAGTCTTCGTCACAGAGTTGATGCAGGTTAATGTGACAAAACCAAAGCCCAGAATGGCAGCTCCTACATGGAGTTAACTAACTTCTGGTAGTTCCTTTTCGAGAGAAGGAGGTGAGATTTTACATGATGAAGTATGAGGAGTAAACGAGTGGTTCCTTCTCAGCAGCTCTTTTACTTGACCTAAGAGTTCATGTACATATTCTGTGAAACAATCCCAGTGTTATTTTTTACTTAAAAAAAAAAAAAAAAAAAAGAACAAAAGGCAGTGGTAGTAGCCAAAGCTGTGCACACAATCCACAGAAATGTAAGAAAAAATATTTACCAGGATCCATCTAAGATGTATTTTCAAAGGAATAGTTTGCATAATAGATTCAGACGTCAGTAACCCACTTAATCAGGCCACATCCCTCCTGCGCTTTCCACTTTATGGTAAGAGAATTCTGATAGTCAACTTTGAATGAAACTGAGGCCAGTCATTACCTGGGAGCAAGTCACTGGGGTTTTCTGCCTTGAGCTACCCTTTTCCTCTGTTGACAGATCTGATTAAAGGTGCAAGGAACATGAAGGCATTTCTCTATCACTACTATACATGTATTCCATGTGTCTTCCAACTTCCTTAAATTTTTTTGGAGTCAACACACTCTTTCTGGATAACCAAAACCGAGTGACTTTGTCAAGCAGCATTTTTAAACACCTATCACTCTTAAGAAAATCTTTCTTCACACAAGGTACATTTACACAAGGCAGAGAAAAAACCCTAAAGGTCCTCTTAGCACTAGACTTCATTTAAGCCATTTAAGTCAGAAGGYTCCTTTGTTATAGAAAACAAGCATTGTGAACAGGAATCAGCTGGTGAAACTGCCAGGTGCTCTCATGAAAGCAGAATGGAGATTATCATAACATCTGTGTTTGTTCTGGATAGGGATTAATTACACTTAGCATTAAAAGAAAAGGACAAGGTGTGAGGCCCATCAGAGCAGATCAGGAACTAAATTACCAGGTAATTATCTTCTAATGAGAGTCCCACAAAAGCCTAAGTATTTTATGATTCACCCATACTATGCAATTGTGGTGTATTTTAGATTGAGAAGTTTATTATGAACAATTTTTAACCGTGTTGTAAAACCCTCTAGAAAATGCAAAAGGATGGTGAAAGCTGCCTGAAGGTGATGGAGCAGAGATCRCTGTTCTACTAAGGGAAACTGAAGCACTGCATCACCAGAAATCCCTGGATGTTTATTCTCAAAATACGCACATGTAGTCTGTCCTGATCACGAACAACCAAATGCCAAAGAAAGTCCTTCAGATTGCAATTTCTTCTCGTACCGGCTTGTCAGCCGAGGTCATCTTCAGGAACTTGGGCACTTCCTCGTTTTCAGTTGCTTGGTARAGCATCTCAAAATCCTGAAAAACACGGAGAAAACGGGTGATGTCACCAAGCGAGGTGACTCCTGTGGGCCTCCCGCCTTGTCTCACGTCCGTCCCCAGCGCCTCGGACAAGGTGTTGTTCGTCCAGGTGAAAACCCGGACTCGCCACCGCGACCGCAGCACTAAACCTGTACGAAACAGGCACCGGGCAGCGAGGAGGCCGCGGTTCCSCGGGGCGGCGCGGCCCTTACCCCGCAGTACTGGTCGCCGTTGCAGATCTGCGGCGGCATGGCCTGCGGGTCGCCCGCCTTGTCGCGCATCTCGCGCAGCCGCCCCTCGCTCACGGACACGTCGATGAGCTCGTAGCGCAGCCGGTTGCCCTCCAGGATCCGCCGCACCTCGGCCTGTCTCTGCCGCACCTGCGTGCACAGCGGGGCGGCCCCGAGCCGAGGCGCCGCCGCTGCGGCCGCCCTGCCCGCGCCGCCCCCGCTGCCCGCGCCGCGGCCGCCGCTCACCTCCCGGGAGCCCGTCACGCTGCTGTAGTACACCTTGATGGAGCCCATGGCCGCCGCGCGGTTGCTGCGGCAACCAACCGCCGCCGCGCGGTTGCCCCGGCAACCAACAGTCGCCGCGCGGTTGCCGCGGCAACGAACGGCCTCCGCGAGCCTGCCCCGCCCCCGGCCCTCTCTGATTGGCCGCTCCGCTTGTCAGTCGGAGCTCGGCGGCCGTTGACCGTTGGCGGCGGCGCTGGCGGGCTCCCTGAGGGGAGCGCTGTAGCGGCTGCCGCGCGCCGCGGGCGGCCGCGGTTCCCGCGTGAGGCGCCGCCCCGCGGGCTCCTGCGGCGCTGCCCTTGCCGGCCTCGGGAGCGCGAGGCGGCGCCGCCGACCCGGGGCTCCCGGCCGCTCTCGCTCGGCTGTTCTCAGTGTCCGCTGCGCTCTGGGAGGGCCCCGCTGGTTGTTCCCCGAGCGCTCCGGGGAGGTTGTGTGCCCGGAGACACGAGTGGCTAGTGAGTCTGGGTGCTTTTCCAGCTGCAGGTGGAAACCTGGCTGTTGTGGTCCCTGACTCTGTAACTGCAAGCGTGTTTTTTTTCTTGTTCTTTTCTATTTCTTTTTTTTTTCTGTGCCTATTACTGTGTGGTAAAGCTTGATTTTGTAATAACAAAAGCCCGTGGTTATCCTGGGTAATTGAGTGAATTTAAGCTGCAAAAAGTCCAGTATAGGTGGTGTGTGCAGCTCTGTGAGCTGATGGCAGACTGGCAGTTTTGATCCCAAGTACAAAAAAATAGTCAAGAGCATTTGTTAGTGTTTTTTTTTTTCTCTCTCTTCAAGTTAACAGTGCTGAATTTCTGTTTCCTAATAAAATATATATATATATAAATATTCTCTGGAAACTGCAGCTCTGCAGCGGATGCAAACTCTCTTATTCCCCCGCTTTGGCCTGTGAAGACGGTGGAGCCTCCAGCAGAGCAGGATCATCAGCAGGTGGCACGAGAGGGACGCGGTTTTGCGCCGCACRCTGCGCATGGCTCAGGGCACCAGCATCAGCCCTGATAATGCTGTACTTACAGMCATACAGTGCTTCCTTTTTGGTTTAAATACATATTCCATGCTTACTTTTTGTTTTAAATACATGTTCTGTGCTGGGACTAATGCAGATGTGTGTGTGGCTGGAGCAGAAGCTGCAGGTGGGCAGAAGGATGGGGCTCTATAAAATACRTAATTTGAGATTAAATAAGATGCTTATTTTTATATCTCTGCAGTATTGCTGCTATATGTTTTAATTTTTCATATATGAATGATACAGTCAAGTATCACTTGTCATTATAGATTCTACTCTAAGTTTAGACTGAGGATTCAGACATCCTTGTTTTGTTGGCTCTGTTTTTCCAACTTTTATCTGTATTCAGACTTTGAAGTAACCAACGTGTCGGTCTTGTTCTGATTTTTTGTCCATCTAAGCTATTTGTCAGATGAGTACAGCTGAAATGCAATGTGACTYGCTTTTAATCACTCAAATGGCTAATTTACTTTTATATATATATAAAAAAATTCCTCTCTGCTGCTTTTGTGTTTTGTTGAAACTGCTTCATGAAAAAATACATCACATTGCACCAGACTACAGCTGGTGCTAATTATCAACTCGGGGAAGGAGGCAAAGCTGGAAGGAACTGGAGCCCCCTGTTTCCTCTGAGGTTGATCCTGTCAAGGCTGGGGGCAAGAGCACTGCCCAGGTCACCAACAAATCAGCAAATCAACCGCATGAAAACTGAGCTTGTGTAGCTAATTTTTCCTACCTTTTTGTTTTGTTTTCCTGCCTTTAGTGGCTAATAAACAGAAAAAATACAGGGTAATTATAATCTACTTCCAGATTATAGCCCCATCTCTCTTAGTTCTGTCTTTCATTGTACTTTTCCTCATGCTGTTGTATGTTCTGCCAGGAAGCTCATACCATTTATATATGCTGCTACGGCAGTGTTGAACAGCGAAACACATGAAACAGGTGGAAGAAACAGCTACCGTTGAACCTTCTGAAGGAGCTGCTGAACTCTTCTTTCTTAAGATACCTGGAACGGATGAAAATAAAAGTTGTACAACTCAAATGCTTGATTCAGCAAGGCTGGCTGTAGAGCTACCCAAAGACAGTAAGTCCATTTCCRGGACCCCAGCAGAACCTGAATTTTCACATGGAGGAGATTCTTTATATGTACATGTACTGTGTGCATATGGACATTGGCCATGACTTAATGATCTTTTAATATTAGGGGTGACAAAGACAAAAAACTTAGGGCCGGGAGATGAGCAGATTATATTTGTGCTCTATTTTGAGCCCCAGGAAGGTGGCGTGGATCAGTGAGCAGAGCCTATTTTCAGTTGCTTCAGGGAGGCAGATTCTTGTTCTTCATAGAGAAATAAGTTTTCACTATATTCCGATGAGCACATAATGTCAATTTGTTCCCCAGTGGAAAAAGGTCACAAGATTACAAATTTAACATTCTTTTTTTTCCAAAAGAGGAAATGTTATAAGTAACACTGCCTCTGTAAGTCAGGTGGATGGTAATATCAAAAGKCAACTTTAATATCGGTGGAAGTATTCAGGGAATTCAGTTTCAATTTTGAAAAGCCTCGTGAAATGCAGTCACCCAGATCATTTAGTGATTTTTGTTGTTTTTAAATGATATATTATGTAGCRGTTATGCAACTTGTCAGCATTGCACCGCACTCAGAAACATCTCAATTCACTTTTTTAACATCCTCTTTTAGATTTGCTGTCACTCAGTACTCTAAACCTAGACATTTTTCCACTGGGACCACTTCTGTTTTAAGAGGAATACAAAATGAGGAACTGAATGCTCTATCCTTTAGTTGCTCTTCATATACACAACGATGAAGAGCGAGTATGAGAGAATCTGCTCTCTTACCGCAGTTTTAGTAGTAGAATTCTAAGCTACGTGATTATCTGCCTTTTTTACCCTGTTAGAGCTGGTAAGTCTGGACTTCAAATCCTTTTTTCTTTTTCCTTATGTTTTGTTCCAGAATGCATTTATTTTAAAAAGCATATCTTTTTTAAACATTGCCATGTTTGGACTCTTACTTTAGCACTATGAGCATTTTCAGAGCAATATAGGTAAGACATGTAAGGGTCTGGGGACATGTATGTGGTTTTTCAAAAATAAGTTAGTCATGGAGTAGTCTAAGTTCCATTGACTTTCAACAAGGTTTATACTTCAAAGTGTCCTTGTCTCTTTTGAGAATGGCACTTTCTCTCTTAAGTCCCTTAAATGCTTCAGAAAATACTGCTCCACTTTTGGCATGTATCGATGGTTCTTTAGATAAACAGTTCTGCTGATGTGACCAGCAGAAGCTGTGCTGCCTTTTCTCTCTGCTTTAGTCTTGCTTGCAAGCATACCCCATTCCARTTGTACAATCAACTTTAAGGAGGGGAAATGAAATCTATTATTAGAAAAGAGTAGAGAGGAATCCAGCCTTAGTTGTCTTTGATGAGTAGAGTTTTCAGCTGATTTTTTGAAAGGGTAGAAAGGACATTGCAGTGTGTTATTTCTTCAGGAGATTTAGTTCATACTGTTTAGCTGGAAAGATTCCAATTGGCTTTAGCAGCAGATGAATTAGAAATGATAAGGAGTGCTAAGGCACAGTAGATCTGGGGGCATGTAGGCTAGCTTTTAATTATTCACATGTGCTTAATAAAACTGGAGCCTTAGAGATAAAAACATGCTACTTGTACACAGTCTGTTGTTAAACTGTTGTTGGGGGAGGCAGGTTAACTCTTCATATCTTTAAGTCATCTTTTTAAGCGCAGCTCTTAAGCTCTTGTACATGTGAATATTCAAGTGCTGTATTTGGGATGCAGTTTTAATAGGCATGAAGAACTGTCAGCATCTTCTGAAGGTCCTCAGTGCTTCATAGGACAGCTCAAGTCAACTCAGAATCAGCTTCGAAGTCCAGCTTCACTGTCTTGCTCTGTCAGGCCTTAGCTAATTTCTTGTCTTTCAGTGGGGAAAAAAAATGATTTGCAACTGCTGATACAATGTAGAGAAGTGAAATCTTGGCTTTGTTAATTCCTTCAGTTTACTACTATTTTTTTTTTCCTAAAAAAATCTTGAAGTACTTTGCCTGTCTTTCTTTCACTCACAGATCTGTATGGAARTCTGGTGATTAGACTTTCTACCACTTGTCATCATGTTGGCAGAAGGCATCTTAACTGGACTTATATATAAAGAAATCTCTGCTCGAGATAAGCCTCACAAATGTCATGCAAACAAAAAGGTTAAGGAAGGAATCTGGAGAGAAGAACTTGCAGACAAACCAAAAATTAGAGCGTTTGCTGCTGGACATGAGCAGCAGGACAAGATCATTGCCGAAAGCAGCAGCAAAATGGAGCACAAGAGAAACCCTCACTGGAAATCTGTAAAGGACTTACCTGCAGAAGATAAGAAAATACTTGTTAGGGGAGCTCCATCACCACCTTTACATATTCCCAAAAGAGAACAAAATAATGAGCAGCTGGATTTGCACAGATCCCGGTCCTGCAACAGCATTTATCAAAACTATCCTGACTTGCATATTGGAGGAGACCATGTGGGTGACCATATGTGTGATTCAGGTTGTGTTTTGGACCATGCGTGTGATGAACTTCCAGATGGCCCCGTTCTGCTGTCTGCAGATATCCCTCTAGGTCAATCGCCTCTGTCTCCGCATCTTGAAAAGACAGACATAAAGTCCCTGCCTGGAGAGGAAACTGCAGAAAGGAGTATGGTGCTGTGTGAAGAGCCTCTTTCAAACTCTGTGCTCAACAACTACATGGAAAGAAAAGTAGCAGAGCTCTATAAACAGTTTTTTGAAGAAAACCTGGCCAGATGTGGTTCTGTAACAAACCTCCTGACTTGCAGTTTCATAAGGAATAACTTGAATCAGATAAGCTTTCAGATATCCCAGGAGCAGAACATAGAAACGTCTAAGGCCAGAGAGGTGCTCTTACACTCTCTAGCCTTGTTCAGTTTGCGTAATGCTACCAATGGAAATAGCTCTGAATTTAGCACTCCAAACTTGCAGATCTCCAACTTAGCATGTGCAGAAAAAAGCCACAGGCTACAGTTCACATCATAACTGAAATACTCACCTGAAGAGATGAATGCAGTTCATATACAAATATCTGTATAGATTCAGATACAAATATTCACTGTAAGGACTGGATTGGGGAAGAAAACATTAGATACTACAGACTTTTTCAAATGTTTAACATACTCTGTCTATGATGATCTTACCAAAGGAAGATAAAATTCACAGATATCTTTTCTAATATAGAATAAGAAATGAACTATTCTCTAAAATGCTGTTCAAACATAGTTTTACATGGTGTGATCTCCACTTATAAGACTCTGGCTCTGTGAGTAGTTATGCTCAGGTACCTTTGGATTTACTCCTGCAAGAACAATTAGTCAAGGAATTAGTCCTGGTAAAATTATCATCCAAGAGAATAATCCATCCCCCCAGTAATGAAAAGAGTCAAATTTTCTTTCAACTGGAATGGTGAAAACTTGGTCTTCAGCAGATAGAGAGGTTCACAACTCTATTTTTTTTTTGTATAGAGCATCATGTATACAAAATATCAGTTTTAAACTCCAGAGAACCTGATGTTATTGCGTATGAATGTTTGTATCGCAGAGGTAAAGTATGTTGCAATGAAAAATCAATAAATTCCTAACAGATGAAATGTGATCAAGATTGTGTTTTATTTTCTGTTTTAAAAATATATTTCTATTTTAAATAATTTCCTCTTCAATGAAATACACTTATCTTTCTGTCATTACATTACTATTTTATATATCTTTTGCATTTTTAGTAAATTTTATTTCCTTGGAAAGGAAGCTCTTACAGTCTGAACTGTTAAGACAGAGTTAAGACTCTGTTACAACTTTTGTGGAAAAAATACCACCGATTTTTTTTGATCTTCATTTGGAAGTGAAAGTGCAAAACTCACTAGGGAAAATTGCTTGCTAAACCTTCAAATGTTTTTCCTTTTTGGTTGGTCACATCTCAGTAAGTATTTTAACTGGAAATTAATAACGGTGATGCTGTTGAAAATTGATAAATAAACTAGGCTGGTATAGTGACAGGAGAAGTTTCCTACTGGTAGGTGAACCTCTTCACTGACTTGCGTTATGACTATATGTGATTTGATACACCTGCAGTTTTAGGTTGATAATCATGAAATCTGAAATCTACCAACAATTACGTGTGTGTGGTTTTAAGCTTCATGAATCTGTTCTATAGTGCTAGTTCAATACTTTTGTTTGGTTAATGCACGTGTATGAGACCAGTTATAAAAGAACTCAGTGAAATTCATTTTGTAACAATGAGTGTAAAACAAAACCGTCTCTGTTTTTCAGTTGCTTCTCTTAAATTCTGATCTGTAGTAGCATTTTCTAATTCTTTGTCAACCTTCTAAGAGAATATGAAGGATTGTGTGATCTTTGGGTAATAATACATCAAATGCAAACATACTTGTGTTTGTAAATCAAAGCCCTTGACATCTCATCAGTCCTTTGAACAGATCAAAGTTTTCTTTCTTTTTTTTTTTTTTTTAAATCCAGCATCTTTATTTTTTAAATCATCGCTGAGTGCAGCATTTATAACAAGAATACCAGTAGGCTTGAAAGAATAGCTCGGAACATTGAGAAGATCTGATTTCCCAAGGGATTCACCTTGGAGCTCGTTTCAAGTATTTTAGCTTAATTAGCTATGTTTACTGTCACACAAGTGATATGCTGGGGCTTAGAGTTGAGACTGTGCCTGTCTTGCCTTGCAGAGAGAAGGAAGTTTACAGCCTAAAAGCGCATACAGGCTCCCTAATGCGCTCTAGTTGCATAAAAGACTGTTCTTGTGCCGCTTGCTCATGGCGTGGGCCTCTTCTGCAGGATGATGCAACTGGTCAGCTCTGTGCAGTTATTCTGTGGGATGCTAAATACAGCAGCGTGTGTAATGGAAGGGGAAGTACAAGATATCCTAAGATTGTGACCTTTTCTGATGCCTTTCGATCTCTTAGGAGTGGTAGAACTTAACGAACGTGCCTGMCTCAATGAGTTTATGTATGTAGTGGCTAACAAATCCAAACGCAAGCACATGGATTCAATAGGGTTGGGTATTCTGCTTTGAGACCGAACCTCAAATCTTAAAGATAGATTTAAAAAAACRAATTGGCAGGCAAGGTTGATCTGATAGGTTTATTCTTACAATCTATACAGCATCAAACCAATTCAGAGACTGAATAGAGTGAATACCCCTGTCTTTGAGGTGTTTTCCAGCTGTTACACAAGTTGGGCTTGGGGCTTCAGAAAGATGGATTCCCTTGAAAACAGGGTATTCATTTCCTTCAAGGCTTTCAGTTTCCTTTGAAAACCCTCATTTTACTCTGTGTCTCATCTGACTATTTAACTTTTAATCTTCCTATTTTTTCTGTTTCCTTTGTCCCACACACAGTATTGGGTCTGAGCTGACTGTTCCGTGGTAGCGTTGTGGTAGCCTSAGTATTTTCCCAGGTATAGAAGAGATGCTGGAGCTTGGAGATTGGCAGCAATGCGGAGAATCCATTCCTACGARGAAGGGTGTTCTGTGGAGACAAAAATATCTTCCTCCTGGTGTAAGTGTCTGGCAAATACAATACTATATAATATCTAACAAACCTTCTTAGCTGCTTTTTCAGGTACATTTATAAAATTGTCTTATAAAATAAAATGAAACTCATAAATGTCACAGATTTAATTGGACATTCCTTGCCCGACAATGACATAAGTAGTGCAAGGAGGATATATTGAAACTGGTTCATGTTTTTCAAGAGGTTGATAGGAAAGGATATTGCTGTTTTTATACACTGCCCTAATTGTATATGTCTAATTAATTACCTTCTCAGCTTGAAAAACCAAGTCCTTTGGAAGAGGCTGAATGACTTTGTTGCACTTCAGAGGAGTCCAGAGCAGGAAGCACCCTAAAACATTCCTCAGTTCAAAATGAGCTAGGTGAAGGTAAGAGAGGAAACATTCAGGAGGGCATCAGTAACCAAAGKAGTTCAATTAACCATAGAAAAGACTTCTGTGGCATTTGTGCTGCCTTGGCCTAGCCTTTTATTTCCCCTGGGACATATTTATAGTTCAACCAAAGTCTTGAAATAAGTTAATTGCATGAGGTTCTTCCTCAGAAAATGTGGAAGTCAGAGTTTAAGCCTAGCTCCAGATTCTGGTGGTTTTTTTTTCCAATGCGTCTCGCCAGCCTGGAGAAAAGTGAAGGAGGAATTCTATACTTAGCTCTGATATTAACCTTAGAGCCTTAACCTTAGATCTTAGATGTCAACTGCAGCTCTAACACTGATGTTAATGGCAGCAGCAGAAGCTGCTGAGGGTGGAGGACTGCTGCGGTGGGAGGAACGCCTACAGAGCAGCTCCACTCATTGTCCTTAAAGAAATGGGGTGGCAGAAGAGAGAAGGCTGTAAGAAAATGAATATTCTGAATTTGCCAGACTCCAAGATTGCTCTGGAGCTGTGTTGATCCTATCCCATTCAGAAAGGGTTTCAGAGCACATTTTAAAAAGAGTTTGCACAGGTATGTGGATGATTTTATCTCTAATGTAAACACTGGAATGAAAACACAACATAACAAGCAATGCTAGGAGAAAAGCTTTAATTTGTAGCCCTTATTATCCACTTAAATTCTATTCTTAGTGCCTTTTTATTTTAATTGACACATTTCAAATAATGACATGCTTCAGCTTTATTGCAATTTGAAAAATACTGAGCTACGTTCTGGATTTAAGCAAGAAAATTCTATCAGCTGCACTGGAGCTGTGCCCATTTTCACTAGCAGGAAAATGGCTCACTAAGCTCAAATTACATAGGAAAATCACTTAGAAGGTGATTTTCCAGACTTTTCCAGCTTCTCCAGACTGCTGAAGGACAGCAGATGTATTTTATTACAAATGAAAACAATGCCACATTCTACAGGTCACACACATGAGACCAAATTCTAGCTGGCAGTTATGTTTATGCACATGCCAGAAAATCCTAAATCGAAGGAGAAATATTGGCAGGGAATTTTCCAGTTTTATTTCCAGTTCTCATTTTACATTCCCACAGACAGGCATTCGTCAAGTACTGTGAGCAGGATGCTGAAAGAAGCTGTGCTCTCTGTGTTAGATCTGTCTGATCTAACTGAGACACAGAGCTAGGACCTCACCCACCAGCCTGTTTTCTATTGTCAGTGGCAGAAAATAAGCCCCTCCAGAACGTGACTAAGCCCACGTTGGTGAGTAAGATTTTTACATGCCATTTTCTTTGGTGTATTTCCTTAGGGCTCCCTTTCAGGGAGAAATCTTTTCAGTTGCCACTTCTGGCTGACAATATGAAATTTTGCCAGTTTCCTGCACCTTCATTTGCTGATGATTTTTTAGGTGCTGATTGGCAGGTGACCAAGGTCTCCAAAATTTCTCCCTCTGAATGACCTCCTGTGCAGGGCAGAGAACCAGCCATAGAAGCAGCARCAAGACAGACTTGCAGAAGTTCTTCTCTGTTTCATACAAACATTGCTGCTCCTTGAGGGTAAGTGGAAACCCTATCTTAAATACAGCCAGCAGTGGTGGCTAGTTAGCAAAAACTGACTTACATGTGTATTTTGATAGTTCTACTGTAGTTGAATTAACCACAAAAAGCTGCTAAATTTAATTTCCCTCTGCTGCCTACACAGGGCCTGGAAACCCTATCCTGACTATGAATGTGGACTTCTGTTTGCTGAAGCTGGAGTTCCTCAGTTCCTGTTAACCAACATGGTAYGGCTCCCATTCTTTTGTCATGCTTTTGTGTCAGGGTTTTCCACAAAATCTGATCCTACAGTATCTAAGTGTGACATGTCCCATATTGATTAACACACAGCCTATGCTYGGAGTTCTTTTTATTTTGCATGCTCTATTTTTTTCTTAATATTTAATGTCATAGAAAATCACTGCTTCCAGTTGTCCTCTGAGCATTTAGAAAATAAGACAGTTCAGCTACCAATTGAATTATTGGTTAACCTGTAGAAGGGTTGCACATATGCTTTGCACATTAAGATTTATGAGTAAATGTCTGTAGAAATATGCTCTTACAATATTGGTGGCATGTAAACTTTTGAATTACTTTTTAGGTAGCCTTAAAACTCCCACTTCAAAAATTTCTTGTCTTGTGCAATAATGTAATTTCAAAATACCCTGTGTTGCAATTTTTGTCTAATTTCCCGTCTCCAGTCACTGCACATGCGCACTTACCATTCCCACATCTGTAGCATATGCTATAATTCTTACCAATTCCTTGAAGTGTTTTGTCCATTCCTCATACCTATAAACTTGATGTGGTAGTAATTATTTATTATTTTGTTAACAAAAGTTAACAAAATGCTGAGCATATATATGCTGAGCATGAAAGTTTTTGCATAATTATGCATTTGTTACTATTAAATTCTACTGGATTAAGGGTAGAATTTTGAGTATTACAGAATCACAGAATATTCAAGGTTGATGATGCCACGTTCTTAAATGGTGACCAGTCT